CCGCCGCCTCCATCGCGCCGCGCGCGCCCGCCCCCGGCCGCCTCCGCCGCCCGCCTTTCCGCCGCCGCCCTCGCCTCCACCGCCGCCCTCGCCGTCGCCGCCGCCGCCGCGCCCGCCGCCGCCGCCCACCCCGTCCCCGCCGCCGCCGTCGCGGAGGTTCGGAGGTGTGCGGGGAGGCTTCGGGGCGGGCGATGGCCTGCCTCCGCCGCCGACGCCCTCGCCCCCGCCGCCCCGCGCCCCGCACTTTGTGTACCGCAGCATACCCCTGCCGCCGCCGCCGCCGCGGCTCACGCCGCTCAACATCCGGGACGTCGCCAACCATAAGAAGGGCACGCGCGGCGATCGGGCGGCGATGGCGTTTCGCCCCACGAACAACGCGAGGCAGCACGACCCGCAGCTGTGGCCACACGGGCCTTGAGAGGTGTGGGGACAGACATGAGTGTGTGTGGAGTACTGCCAGAGCGGATTGCGTAAGACATGCACCATTCCAACAAAGGCAGCACGATGCCGAGCCGGTCGCGGGTCGGCGGGGTCGGGGTGGTCGGTACATATATAACTTTACAGACAGACACGAGACAGTCTGAATTTCACACTGGGTGATGCTCCGATAAACCCGCCGGATCTTCGACAAAAGCAGGGACATTTCTTTTTTGGAAGGGTAGGTGTGAATACAGCTTTCTGGTAGGGTTACATCGACGAACTATGCGGCAATCGACTGGGGGGCAGCCCCCCAGCACATCCCACACAGAGACCTGGATGTAACCCGATTGTGAGCGTGAGTGAAACCGCCGATGCGATTGCTCATTGCTCAGTCAGTGACCGACAGTCAGTCGCAGCAGACTTTGACGATTGGCGGCCTCGCGCCCTCAGTCGCCCTCCTCTACTAACGGCCCTGCCCCAGCCCAGATGCCTCATCCAGGGTGGTGCAACCACTCGCGCAGGGAGGGAGAGACAGTCGGCGATCTGCGCCGCGCAGATGAGCTCCGCCTCGTGACGTCTGCGTCGAGGACGTCCACCGCAGGGCTATCATAGCGCCATATGACGCACTGCCTGTTGTTCATTACTTCGCAGGTGCGAACGTCGAGGACAATCTCACTGGTGGCGGCTGCAGTGTTGAATATTTACCGGTATGAGACCGGTATTTGGTGATATTTTGATTAGTTTTGGAGTGGTATGGTATAGTGGTATGCGAAAGTGGTATGCGGGGTTTTCATTAGTTGTAGCGGCTGTCGGTGTGGTCCCGGGGGCGAAACCATGCAAAAGTGCGGGTATTACTCGGGTTTTTCCAGGTATACCCGCAAAATACCCGGTATTTTGCCGATTTTGCCGATTTTGCCACCAAGAAGGCACTCCGACTCGCTTTGATTTCCGTGAGGCAACTGGTATCCCGTACCACTTTTTGATTAGTTCAGGCCTAGGGTTTGATTAGCCAAAAACTCCCATACCGGTAAATATTCAACACTGGGCGGCTGCACTCCCGGCCGGCGGTAGGAGAGATGAAGGCTAATGTACTTGGCAGTGTACGGGCCTTCCGGCGTGAACAGTGCCCCGGGACGAAAGAGGAGGCGACGTCTCTCTCGTCCACGAGCGCCTCGATGTGCGCATCGACGGTGTAACCAGCTTTGAGAGACGGGAACGAACGGCGGTGCGAAATCCTCTCAGAATTCTTTGGCATAGGGGAACCCCAACCCTAAATTTTCTTTCGGACCCCACGCGCCGGGGGGCTTGAGCATTCGGACCCCCCCCCCTAGCATGTGGTGGGCACCCCCCAGCAGTTCGTGGGCTAGGAATAGCCGCCAGAGAGCCGATTTTGCCCCCAAAGTTGTGAAATCGTGGCTGAAAGACCAATATCTTGGAGAATCTGACCAGTCTCAAGGCTCATGTAGCTCCAAAAGATGATTTTCCCCTCGAAAATGCTGCGAAATGAGGCGTAAAATCAAGGGCCCGGAGGGTCTGACCACGAGTCTCTAGGGGGTCCTCGGCCACGACCCCCCCCCTAGCATGTGGTGAAGGTGCTGGGGGGGGGCGGGACCCCCCCCCTAGCATGTGGTGAAGCCTCTGGGGGGGGTCGGACCCCCCCCCTAGCATGTGGTGTGCAGAGAAGGGCGCCCCCCTCCCTGGAAGCGATGTCCGCCTGCTCCCGCTCGCCGCGGGGCTGAGGGACTTTTGTCGATGTTGGCTAGAAGTGCTGCACCTTTTTGAGAATTTCACCCAGGCACTCTCCCCCACGCGCCCCTAGGCCTAGCCCCCCTAGCAGCTGCTCCCTACTTTACGCGGCAACGCGGGGCGCCCTACCCGCCCATGGCTCAGTGGCAGTGTGCTCCAGCCTCCACGCACCACGCGACCACGGCTCTCCACGCACCACGGACCACGCTCAGTACATACATACGCTCCACGCGGCTCACGCGCGCCGTCTGCGTCTCCACGGGACCAGAGTGTCGAGAGTCTAGAGAGTCCACCCAGAGTGCAGAAAGAGCACTTAGCACACAGGCCACACGCTCACAGCAGTCAGTCCTCAGCACACAGCAGAGGCTCAGCCGCAGGGAGAGTGCGCTCGCAATGAGTCTCCACGCAGCGTCGCCAGTCGTCGGGGACGGGGGAGAGCCGTGTTGTACATCAACATGCAAAGTCGTGCCAACGGCGCTCTTCCAGTAACCTCTATCATTCTAAGATTCTATAGAGACTATATACGCGCTCTGACTGACCGAAAGTGGAGCGAAACAAACTCAGAACACTCACAGGACTCCGGCTCGGACGGCCGCCTCAGTGCTCAGAGGGCGGTAATATGCTTGTCTCTCACCCTCCCACCCGCTGGTGATGGCCGAATCCACGGAGCCCCGGGCGCTGCCTCTCCTCGGACGCACGTGAGGCTCCGAATTCTATATGTAGACACGCAAAACACGCGCGCCTGTGCCTCAGTAAATCACTGGCCACACCTCGCTCTGCAGGCGGTCTCACCTCGCTCCGCGGTCTGCACCGACCCTTCTCCACCACATACTCCCACCAGGTCTCTCGAAGCGCGCCCTCACTCCTCCGCTCCTGCTCGGAGGGCAGCCTCTGCTGCCTCGCGGACGGCGGCGTTCTCGTCGTCGAGCGGCATGTCCTCGGCCTCGACCGGCTCGGCCGTTGGGTCGTCGCCCTCGATGGGCGGAGGCGGCGAGGGCCTCATGGGCCCGGCGGCCACCGGGTGGCCGTAGCCGAGGTAGAGGTTGGCATATCTGCCCTCCTTGGCCTCGCTCACCTGATACGGCAGGAGGGAGGCCGGTTGGGGGCGCCGCGGCGGTGGGGCCCTGCCGCTCGGCGGAACAACCGCAATGGCCCCCGGCCAACGAAGCGAGCGCGACCAGACGACCGCCGCGCCGCCGCCGAGGGCCGCGGGCCCCACCAGCGCCCAGTCTGAAGCCTCGATGGGCAGGAGCGCCTGATAGGGCGGGTCGCGTCCGGTCGTCAGGACACGCCGCCAAAGAGAGCTTGAAAGTCGGTGCTTTAGACACCGGCTTCTCCGGCTCTAGCTGCGGTGGCGGCGCGTCGGCATCCGCCTCCTCGGGACTCGGAAGGTTGGTGCAGCGACCGATGGCGAGAATGCCCATGTTCTTGTGGCGCCTGTTGGGAGAGTGTCGCCGGCGTCAGAAGTCGAGTCCGCGAGACGGCGATGGCGGTGGTGGCGGGGCGCGCGCCACGAGGCGGGCTCGCAAAGCTGCGAGCTGGTTGGTGGTGGCAGCGCGCCCTCCGCCTCGGGGTCCGCCGGCTCCACGGCGCCCTCCGGGCTGAGGGCGTACTTGTGCGATGGACAGAGCGTCGTGCCATGGGCAATGCGGGCGAGCTGCGCGCGCAGGTAGTGCCGCTCCGTCCCGGGGAAGGGCGGGAAGCAGCAGATGTCGGCGTCGAGGCTTCCCGTGAAGAACTTGCGCGTCCGCGACGCGGCGACGATCGCCTCTGGCGTGACGCTCGGCAGCTCCTCCCATGTGCCACCGAGCTCCGGCGTCACAAAGTACGAGAGCGCATTACAGCCAGAGCCATACTCCTCTGCCGGCGTCGCTGACGGCTCGCTGGCCTCGGGCGGCTCGGGCGGCTCGGCTCGTCTCGCCTCGGCAACGTAGTAGTCCGCTGCGGTGCCGAGGATTTTGCCGAAGAAGCGCACGCTCTGCAGCTTTGCGGTGCGCTGCAGCGCGCAGAGAGAGAGGTGCGCACGGTAGGTCTCCTCGGGTGACAGGCTCGCACCTGAGCGGGTTGGGTAGGGGTTGGAGGCGGCGGCTGGGATGGCAAGACCCAGATCCACCGCGCTCGTCCCGCCGTTGGCCCTCCTCTCCGTGCGAGCCAACAGTGTCCACATCTCTACGCCCACCCGCGGCGTCGAGGAGCCGCGCATCGTCGAGGAGAGAGGGGGGTATCTGTCCGTCCGCCTCGTCCTCGGAGCCCGGCTTGAGCAGGGCCGCGTCCCTCTCCAGCCAGCCACTGTCGGGCACCTCTGGCGCCGTGGTCGGTGGCGGCGGTGGCACCGTGACGGCCGCAGGGTCAAAGGAGCTCGACTTGACCTTTGCAGAGAGGGCCTCGAACGCACCGAGTGCATCGGCAGGGTTGGAAGCGAGGATGGTGGCGAGCACATCGGTCAAATGCGAGTACACGGAGACACCCTTCTCGTTGGGCCGTTGCAGGAAGGAGACGGCCTCGGCCTTGTCCGACATCGCGCTGGGGCGAAACGGCCGTCAAAACAGCGCGGGCGCGTGAACAGCTCGATGCAGCTGTGGGATACGAATCAGATCTGAGATGAAGGCGCGCGCTATTGCGCATCTGGCACACGCGTGCCCCGTCCCGTAGAAGGCAAAAACGGACGAGCAGCGAGCACGCGAGCTCCTCCCTCTCGCAGCCGGGGCTAGAGCTGAGCCTGCCTGCACCCTGCTCCACCTCCACTCTCTTCCCAGCTTCCAGCCAGTACTTCCACTGTCAGTGTCACCGCACCGTGAGCACTGTGCACTGAGCAGTGAGGTGTGAGCACTAGCTGTCAAGTGTCACATCGCGGGAACGCGGTGGCGGTGGGCAATGACCAATGTCGCGGCAGGAGAGAGGTAGCGAGGCTTTGACGACTGCTTTTTTGACTAGACTTTCCTGCATCGAGGGGTACAGTGTTTACGGACACGACAGTGGCACAAATACCACACGAAATTCGTTCGCCGGCGTGCCCCGTGACTGCATGGCACAAATCGCATCCTCGCGACACTGCGAGCGCGGCGCTGTCCGCGACGCGAGCCCCAGTATACAGACACGCCGCGGAGAGACTGTCACAGGCCGCCCCCCAGGCTGTGAATCAGGGGGCGGCTCAAGTCCACGAGGGATGCACAACACCCGCTGGTCACGCACGGGAAGGCTGCAAGCACATGCAAGTCACATGGGCGATGAGACGTCGGGATGCCGCTGGGGGCTCCCTGCGCACCACTCTTCCTCCGAGCCGCGGCAGCTCAGCCCTTTCCGAGGAGGTCCGCGCCGAAAGCATCCGGCTCTGACACGGTCGGTGAGCCCGCAGAACCGCGGAGAGCGCGGGTCCCAGCGGCGAGGCCGGGATGGGTCGGTTGGAAGCAAGCGTTGCCGAGCAGCATGGATGCGAGAGCGAGAGCAATCCCTGCTACCCCGGCCGCCGCTACGCTCATCACAATCACCATTCCAGAGGAGCCTTCGTCTGCAATCAGCAGAGCCGGCACCAGCGACGGCGCAAACGCAGGAGGGAGAGCGGCGGATGCTGCGGTCGCGGCGCCGGCTGCGCCCGCGCCGAGGATGTTCGGGGTCGGAAGCCGCATTCAGCGGTGCAGCGGGCGCCTTGTGCGGCAGCAGCGCGGCGCCGGGCAGTTTGCAATCTCCAGGCTGATCGAATGAAACAAAAAGTCTTTTGCGCGCTTTTGCTCAACTCCCCAGCGCGTGCCAATTGGGTCAAGAACAAGCAAGTGGCAAACGGCTTCTTACGCTCGGCGGCCCCAGTGGGGGGTGCCCGCGCCGCCTAGCTCTGCGGACGGCCCCCCCCACCCTTCATGTAATCATGTAGTCCCCACAATCGCTGACGAGAGAGAGATTTTTAGCAATACCAAACAACTCTAACACTCACACGTCATTTGGGGCCTGGAGCCCTGTTCACGCGCGCGCGAGACGTGCAGACAGGGTTGCCAGGTGAGAGCGAATGGCGCGGTTCACGCCTCGCACAACAGAGAGAGAGATGCGCTCTGCATGGTGGGACATAAAAGAGAGCGAGTACTTGGGCGAGTAGGCCGTGCGGTCAACGCTGCCGCGCGCGACTTTGCGCGCGAGGCGGCGCAGCTTGAGAACGGCGGTGGGCGAGAAGCCGCCGCCGAACGTCTCGTGGAGCAGCAGGTTGAAGTTGTTGCGCTTGACAAAGATCGCGTCGTGGTAGAAACCGCGATGCGCCTTGACGTAGCCGTGGCCGGTCTTGTGGTCGAAGGGTTGGCCGGGCTGCCCGCGCGCCTTGCAGCCCATGTTTAGGCGGCGGGCCTTTTCTTCGGTGTTGCCGAAGGCGTAGGAGTGGCCAACGGAGGCGGGCGTGCCGCCACTCGAGGCGTTGCCAACGCCCGGCGAGGAGGTCTTGAGGAGGGGCGTCCAGAGCTTGATTTCATTCACCTCATCGCATCCTCCCGGCCGAGCGTGGGGTTCTGCGAGGTCGACCATGTACCCCTCGTTGTACTGCCGGGTGAGCTCTGGTTTCTCCTTGTCGCCGTGCACGACCGGCGCGTTGGCCGGGGCGCGCATCGCGTCCGCCCAGGCGGCGAGGACGCCGTCGTGGGGCCGCCGGTGGTGGGCCTTGTTGTAAAGGTAGTCGCCGAGGAAATCGACTGGCATGCCCCGCTCGAGCGCGACCCGAAGGGTGGGAAGCGCCGCGGAGAGCCAAAGGCCGAGCTTTCGCTGGAGCTCGTCTTGGAGGGTGTCGGAGGAGAGGGCGGTGGCGTACGTACCGTCGACACGGACATCGAAGGCCTTGCCGGCGAAAGGCGTTGAGGCGGAGACGAAGCGCGCGGCTTCGCGGTTGTTTACAGCGCTGTCTCCGAGGGACGGGTTGTTCTTGACGTGCACATCCCGCGCCTTGACGAGCTCCTGGTGCGCGTACCAGTCCTTGTGATTCTTGATGGCAGCGAGCGCCCGCGGCCGCGGGTACGTGGATTTGCAAGTGCCATTGAGAATCGCGTCGGTAGCTGGAAGGGACTCGGGCTCGGGGAGCGGGACGCTCTTGGGGGGTAGAACTCAGTCAGGTAGCCGCCGCGGACGGTGTAGTACTTGTTTTTGTCGCGGGCGGCGCGCTTCTCGCACACCTCCTTCCAGTCCGAGAGGGCGGACTCGTAGGTGGCGATAGCTGCGGCGATGGCGGGGTACTTGGACGCACCTCCCTCGTCGTGGGCGAAGTCGGGGTTGTGGGCGACGAGGGTGCGCCAGTTCTTGAGGAGCGACATGGAGAAGTCGCTGTCGGCTCGCGAGAAGGCGGTGTCGATGTTGCACCCGCCCATCTCGGTCGGCAGCTGCGCCTGGAGCCACGCGAGGTCGCGGAGCGCCTGGGGCGAGGCGTCGGCGCGAGCAATGCTCTCAAAGGACTTGCGGATGCGGTTGTGCGCAAACTCGAGAGCGTCGCACGCGACATTGGGCGGCGTGATGCCGGCAATGTACTTGGTCTTTGCGCAGGCAATCCGTTGGACGAGGTTGAGGCGGAGCTGCGAGGTGTTCGTGACGCAGTCAGTGTCGACGATCGTGTCGATGACGTCGAGCGGCGCGAGCTTCTTCCTGAGGTGCGCGGTGAGCTCCTTCTTGCAGGCTTCCGGGTCGCCAAAGAAGGTGCCGACGGCCTTGAAGCAGTCCACTCGCCCCGTGGGTTTGCCCTCCTTGTCGCGGTGCGCCGGCGAGCCCCGGAGCCAGCCCGGCGCGCACGAGAGGTCGCCCTCGGGCGAGTAGATGAGCGACTTGCCGACGCCGTCGAAGACGCAGATGTCATGGAGGAAGCAGTTTTGTTGTTCGCTGACGTGGGAAAATGAACGAACTCGGGGGCACGGGACGCGGCACAAACGGGGCACAAACGCCAGGCTACAAAGACGGGGAGGCACGTAGTGACGTGGGATCGCTTGTCATGTGAGAGAGTGCGGTGTGTTCTTGTTTGATATCCGCTTTCTCTCTTTTGCCGGGAACCAACACGTGTATGCACATGCTCGCGCGCTCGTCGGCTGCCTCACCGAACCTCGCCGCCCGCGTCGTCCTGATGACCTCCGTCGCGACGCCGCGCCCGCCTCGCGTCCTCTTCATGCACGGTCTCGAGAGTGGAGCGTTTGGAAGCAAGGCTCGCTGGCTATCCGAGCGCTTTGAGACCGCGGCGCCGGACCAGCAGGTGTCTGCGTACAACCCGTTGCGGCGCAATGGTCCGATGGCGGCGTGCCTCGCCTACGTGTTTTCCTTCGGCGCCGCGGCCCGGTACGCCGGCGGGTCGATCGGCCTCAGCGTCGCTGGGCTGGCCAGCGCGGGCCTCGTGCCCTTCCTGCAGTGGCGAATGCGTGTGGCCATGCGTCGCTGCGTCGCGCTGATGGAGGTGGCGCTGCGGCGCGAAAAGCCGGATGTGGTCGTGGGCTCGTCGTGGGGCGGCGCCGTCGCCCTCAAGTGCATCGAGCAGGGCTACTGGGCGGGACCGGCGGTCCTCCTCGCCCCGGCCATCAGCGCGCGCGGAGTGTGGAACCTGGCGTGGCCGTCCTTCGAGCCGGAGCTGCCGGCGGCCGCGGCGGCGCGCGTGCTGGTGGTACAGGGGGACCGCGACGACACCGTCCCCTTTGAGCGGGTGGTCGACCTCTGCAGGAGGAAGGGCCTCCGTCTCGAGGTGGTGGAAGGAGGGGATCACCGCCTCGTCGGCGCCATGCTCGGCCCGACCGAGCGGCTGGCGCAGCTCGTGCGCGATGAGTACCAGTCGAGCGCTCCCTCTCCGTCCATCTCTTGAGTCGCCGTCCCGCGCAAACGGCTCACGGGCCCCAGACTCCGCTTGTGGCTTGATGTCGCGGCACGTTCTCGTCACGTTGTGACTTGTGCCGTCGCCCGGCTCTCTCACACCGAAACACACGCGTATTAATTATGCAGGCGAATTTGCATCGCATCGGCCATCGCACTCCGCGCATACACAGGAGGGGCGCGCACACACAGGTCGTCAGCGGTTAAGAGCGCGCGGACACCCACAGCCCCACACAGCACACACACGCTGCTCGCTGGGGGCCACGCCGCACCGGGCCACCGCGGTCCGCGCACGCGCGAGCTCTCGGTGCACAGCCTTTGGCTCTGCAGGTCGCCCCTGCCCCCTCGCTGCGCCCTGCGCGCCTGCCGTGCGCGGCGAACCGCGCGCGCAGCACCCGCTCAGCAGCGCTCTGCCCAGCGTCGCCCGGCGCGGCGACCAGCCGGCAGAGCGCAGAGCCTTCTCAGACCTCACGCACCGAGACCGACAGAGTCCCACGTCCCAGAGAGTCTCACTCAGGAGAGAGATAAAGCCGTGGAGAGGGGCCGACTGCACGCTAAAGGCTACACGCTCGCACACCACTTGCAGAGTGGCTCTCCAATAGAGCCCGTACTATAGTCGAGAGTCGCTCGCCGGCCGGCGCAGTGCTGCTCTGACCGCTCCGCCGGGCCCCCTCCGGGCCGCCGCCGCGGAGACGTGCACATAGGCAAGTTGGTATTTTCATATATGAACTTCAAAATAGTATTGGCTAGTGACTGTCTAATTCTAGGAGCGGTGCAGAGGTGGATCCAGCTCAATGATGAGGCTACGGCGCGCATAATGAAGAGAGAGGAACACATCGAGTGGCTGAGGAAGCTCTTCGCTGGGTGGAAGGAGGCCCGGCCAGCCTTGAGGGAGTCGCGGAGGAGGAGGGATAATGGAGGTAACGTGGGAACCGAGGCCAACAGCCAGTGGGACGAACGAGGGCCGCGACGGCGGCTCAAGCGGGAGGGAGCGGAGACGGTGGGCAGAGAGCGAAGTGGGTGAGACTGATGATGCTCCTTCGACTTAGGGAGCGGTTCAGATGCTGGGCGGGCTTCAGGCTGGTGCTCACGCGAACAGGAATCGACGCGATGTGCAAAGCATACAAGAAGGGGAGAGGGAAGAGGAGAGACGCCGGTGAGGACGAAGCAGAAACTAGCGCAGACGAGAGCAGGGGAGACCCGGGGACTGGGGAGCCGGAGCAGACGGCATCGGCCGCCGAGGGAACGTTGGGAAGAGGCACGAGGAGGGCGGCGACCTCGACCGACTATGGAGGACCCGTCGCCAGACGACGCAGGGCAGAAGACGGTGAGGCGGAGCAGACGCGCAGGGCGAGACGAGGGAGGGAACAGGACTTTGCGGAGATCAGCAGGAGGATGTACGAAGAGATTAGGAGCAGCAGGGACCCGAGGGACCATGTGGAAGACGGCTAGTGGCTAGTTCCATTTCACTGTGGCACAGCTCGCGTTACAAAACCTTGATTTTGACCATTGCGCGAAAAAGGTACATCTCGGTGCCTTCCAGAGGCAGCTGC